GGCAGGGGTCAGCCCCCACCCAGGACAACTACAATGGCAGTTTGGGGCCACGGCCCCCCTGCTGCTCACCCAGCGCCTCGTCCAGTTCCGCCGGACGCTCCAGCGTGTCCAAGAAGTCGTTGGAGCTCCATTTCGTCATCTCCTTCGCAAAGACCTCGTCGCTGTCAGAGAGGTCCTCTGCAGCAACAGGGAAGGGGATGTGAGTAGGGGAGGTGACCCCAAGAGCCCACCCACTGACTGTATCCAGCCCACCCCAAGCTGATGCCTGGCCCCTACCACCGAAACACTGAGCCATGGGGCTGCCCCACCATACCGTGGGCATCAAAAAACTCCTCTTCGGAGCTGTTCTCGGAGTCACGGGCGATGTTCTGCATCCGCCACTCTGACAGGCTCTGAGGAGACACCCCCCCTGCCACCAGCGTGGGGCAGCAGAGCTTCCCCATAGCGACATCCCACTCCTGCCCCACAGTTTCCCCTTGCTCCTCCACCCACAGATCCCCCAGGAGACTCAGGCCAGGGAAGAGAGGGTCTCCTCATGCATCTCCTATGGAGAACAGCAGCAGCTGGAGGGTTTGGGGGTCCTCATCCCACCCACGCAGGACCCAGACTCTCACCTCCATGCTGGGAAGAGTAGGAGGACCGGGAAGAGGTGGACCACTGCTTGGCAAAGCTATCATCAGGGGACGCATCGGACACCCCCTGTGCCTCAGTCCCCTCCTGCCCACTGGCACCCCCCGGCTCTGGCCGTCCCTCGGGGCTGGGCCCAGCAGCGGGGGGCTCCTCAGCCTCGCCGCACTTGGACATCTTCTGCGCCAGCATCCGCGCCGTCTCCTCCTCCAGCTGCCGGATGTCCTCCATCGTCAGGTCCGTCCACTCGTCCTGCCAGCACCACGCCTGGCGATGGGCGCGCAGCATCACCTTCCGCAAACCTGCAATGGCAACGGGGAGCAAGCCTGGCATGGGCCCCGAGGCTCCCCAAAACTGCCCGTCCCCCATGACACCAAAGTGCCGGCAGTCAAGGGCTCATCACCACCACCCTGTCACTCACCCACGTCATGGATGAACTGCTCGATTTTGGATTGCATCCCCCAGTAGCGAAACTCCACCTTGCAGAGCTTGTAGGCGCACATCAGGTGCCCACCGGCAGGCGCCTCCCGCCAGTGGTCACCCGGCCCGTCTTGGCCGAGTGGTAGAGCTTGGGGTCCTCCTCGGGCTTGTATTCCCCGGGGGAGATGGGGTCGCGCACAATGTCGATGGTGTCTGTAGACAAAGCAATGCTCATCACCCTGTAGCGCTTGGCGAGGGGTCGCAGGTGGGTGGGAGCTCCCCTTGGGCATAAAAAAGGGCAAAACAGCACCAAAATCAGAGGGGACACCTGGCAAATCGTTCCTAGCTGGTAGCAAACATTCTCCATACTGTGGCTATACCAAAGGCACCCTTGGGTGCACCCAAACGCGTCCCTGCACAGGGCCGGATCGAGTGTGCCGTAGAGCTGCACAGCGCGGCTGCGAGAGGCACAGGGGCGGCGGGGGG